ATAGTGTTCACTTTACATCATAAAATAGCTTAAATTGCAATTCTTAAAATGTTTTATCATGTGCAAAGCAGTAAAATTTGGATAAATTAATGTTACATCTATTAATTTATTTTTTTCTAGCTGAAGTATTCAGTCTTGCTTAGTTCAGTAAAAAGTGCCCTATTTCCAGTTCTCTTTGGCTTAACAGCTATAGCACAGACTAAACGACATTCGCTGGAAGGAGATTTTCTTACTCTAAAAGTGTTGCCGCAATGGCATTTGCTCTACTGAGAAATTCCAGTGATACAAGTTTATCCACATGAAATGTTGGCCCTCCTAATTGGATCATTGAATACTAAACTCAATACATCACTCCCAACTTCTTTAAGATTCTCTGTACACAAACACAATTTTGAATTGAAATTTGAATTATCCACAGAGACAAGTCCTCATAAATGACAACCATTGATGGACACTGGTTAGCTGACGTGTGTGGAAGGGAGGATAGTGTGAATAACAAGAGCTTGACTTTTCATATAAGAAACTGACATAGCAGTACCCAGTGCCACAACTGGCTGAAACTGTCTCTTTTAAGAATAAATCCTCAAAAATTAATTTTGCCAAGAAGAAGGAGTCTCATACTATACGGAAAAAAATCGAAATTCTATATCAGGGTCATACTCCCAAGGAACCCATAAAGGTTCTGCAGCTGAGAACCTTTAGTAGCCCTCTGCATGCTCTCCTGAGAACAGCTACACTCAGATGAGCCCGCACATCTTCCTGAGGTAAGAATGTCACTGCTTCTTTCTGTGTCTCAGAGACAAAAGAACATGTGGCTTGAATGGAGCTGACTCCGGGCTCTGTAGTAATTCAGAGAACTGCAACTGGCACTCTAAGAACTGAGACAAAGTTCTGCTGGACTTGAACAATGTTCTGTGCCTTATAAATGCAACCTCAGCACATTTCAGTAGAATTTTACTAAGCACTGAAAGTGGGTAATTATTTACCCCCAAGTACACAATGGGTAGCCTCTTCTAGAATGCATCTAAGAGATGAGTAACATTTCTTGCAAATGAAAAGGTAAGATTTACTTTTTTCTAAGCCTCAGAATTTATTAATTAACATACCAAAAAGGACATGTTTCATTTTACTAGTAAAATATGCTAACTAGTTATAAATGTATAAATATGATTATATGACTTCCTTCATAAACTTGGTGTGTTTGTTACAATCTGCTCTTCTATGGAATCTGGAACTTTTGCTTATAATTTTAAAATCTGATTATTAGGAATAACATCTGTCTACCCTGGGAAAAAAATAACAAAATAATCAGGAATATTTTCAATGCAATGACTAGAGAAGCATTGATGCTGAACATTGCTAGACATAAAACCATAGTATTAATATTTTACCACTGTTGGAAACTATTTTTGAGATTTGAAAGCTGTTCTGTGCCCATCATTTGAACTACATATATATGTATATAAACTGAAATAAAACTTTGAAATTATTTTTATGTTTATATAAATAAGTCATTATAACAAAAATTCTTTTTTAAAAGAATATTAATTAAACTGTTAGATAAAAGATAAAACAATGTAAAAAATTACACTAATGAAAAAAGTTAAGTGTTATTTGGATTTGAAAATGCATGAAATGATCATTTTCTGAGAGAGTATCTGTATTGTCGACTACCCAGGGCCATGATGATTCCGTTTCTTTTCCCAGAATTGCCTCTCCTGTCCTCCTGTATCCACACAGCCAGCTCTCTTCGTAGCTCTCTGCTGAACCATCTTATTTAGAAGAGGCTTTGATGAGTCACGCTATTCCCATAGAATTTAATCATTTACTTCTTTCTAAAAGCCTGTCTGTGTCCGAGGTTTGAGGCAGCAGGGAAGCATATCATGAGGATACAATAGAGGCAGGGTGATCAAATGAATGCACTTGAAACATATTTTCTGTAATTTCTCACATAACTAATGACAGAGAAGTTGGAACATCTGCATGGGACTGACCTAGGCCCTCTGCATATAAGTGACAGTTGTGTATCTTGGTCCCCTTGTGGGTCTTCTAACAGTGGGGGAAGGGATTCTGTTGTCTGCTTTTGGTACCCTTTCCTTCTACCAGATTGCGTAGTCCAGCCTTAACAGGAGAGGAGGTGCCTAGGCTCACAACAGCTTGATATACCGTAGCTGGCTGATATCTATGAGAGGCCTGTCCTTTTCTGAACAGAATTACAGGAAGAGGAAGGAATGGGGGAGGGGAAAGTGTGGTCCAGATGTAAAACAATGAATGAATAAACACATAAATAAAGGGAAATCTTACTTCAGTCAAAGATAGTTACCTATATTATTACAGTTTCAGGAATATCAACATTAACTTCTTCCAAGACTCTCATAAGGAATTATGACCTCTGGCCCAGGATTATTTTATAAAATGACAATGTTTTATACATTAAGTGAAAATTTGAGAACCCTTTGATTTATAATTATTCACTTTTTCAATTACATACTCTAAAAAACAGAGTTATTAAAAAATTTTTAAAATGTCACATTATTTGGAAATGTCCTGAAACAATGTTAATTTTAGAAAAATAAAGGAAGACATAAAATAACCACACTTGCCTCTATTAAGAAGAGTTAAGTAAGGTTAATACATTCAAAATATATTTTAGCTACTTAAATATACACATGTACCTCACTTTATCTTTATTTTACTTTTGAATAATTTCACACATCAGACTCTTCACTAAAGTGTTAATAATATGAAAACTCATTCAAAATTTACCTACTATAACTTTAATTTGTAGTCATAACATCATTAATGAAATAAATATCATGTCTAAATACCTGTCACCTACTTATAGAAGCAAACAAAGACTTGAAATACATATTTCATTACCAAGCAAAAGGACCTTGCTTAATTAACTGGAAAAATATTCACATTCTTTTTTATTTTTTGAATTCAGAAAAAAATTTCAGATTAGGGAAACAGAAGGACATCTGTGTGTCTCGATTTCTCAGGACATTATTAGTATTATTTTATTGAACTACTATTTTTAAGGTCAAAGAGATGTGGGGTTGTATCATGGATCAAAATGAAAACCTAAAAAAAATGTTTCTCTGTTTTAGGATTGCATAAAGACTTCTCAACACTGTGAAAAATTTCTAGAAAAAACTCAACAACACCTGCCAGTTGGTTGAATAAATACAGAGTAAACAAATGAATCAGCAAAAGGCAACATTCGAAATTGGAGTTTTTGTGATTCTAATCCTACTATTATACAAATCTTGCAATGAATCATCACTGTTACACAATAATTTTCAAGAAACACAGAATGATTACCAAGGGTAAGTTTAACAGGTTTAGATACAATAGTAGCCCAAGAAAGTATTTAAAGAGTTCATGGTCTGACCATAGTTTTGTTGTTGTTGTTGTTGTTGGTTTTTCAAGACAAGGTTTCTCTGTACCTTTGGAGTCTGTCCTGGAAATAGCTCTTGTAGGTCTGACCATATTTAAAAGCAAAGCATTACTCACAAAAGTTTAATTTACAGTCATGGAATATACAGAAAATAATACCTTTAAATATATTTTTAAAAATCTGATTTTTTTTTTCAAAACAGGTTTTCTCTGTGTGTATTTCTATTTGTCCTGGGACTTGCTCTGCAGACCAAGCTGGTCTTGAACTCACAGAGATCTACCAACTTCTGCCTCCCAAGTGCTGGTATTAAAAGTGTACGCCACCACTACCCAGCATAGTCTCAATTTTCAATGCATTTGTTATGTAAAAACATATGATACAACACAAAGGCTAATTCCCATGTTAATGAAAATTTGTGTTGAAAGCAGAAGAACATATTAGCTATTTACATACATTTAATGAAGGCACCTGACTTCTGAATTTTGGTGAATTTTTATTAGTGTATTTTTATTATTTAAAATGTTTTTAAAGAATTGTAGGAGCCAAAGAGGTTGAGAAAATCACAATAAACTGGCTCACAGAATCAACTAAGCAGAATTCATAGGGGTTCACAAATTCTGAAGTCACAATCACGGAGACTGTATGACTCTGAACTTGGTCCTTTGCATATATGCAATGGTTATGTAGCTTGCCATTTTTGTGGGACTCCTAGCTGTGGAAGCTGGGGCTGTCTCTGATTCCTCTGCATGCTCTTAAGATCCTTTTCTTCCTACTGAATTGCCTTGTCTAGCCTTGATATGAAGGTCTGTGCCTAGTCTTATTGTAACATGCTATGTATGATATAAACATATCATACATTTTTGGTTGATATCCCTGGGAGGTCTACTCTTTTCTGAAGGGAAATGGAGAAGGTGTATATCTAGGGGAGAGGGGAGGTCGTAGTAGTGAAGGGCTGGGAGAAAAAAATTTAGTTAAATAAAATAATAATTAATTTATAATCAATTATTAATAATTAATTAAATTAATAATTAAAAAATAAAACAATTTTTAGATTTCAATATATTTTGTTCATTTCTTCCCCTCCTCCAAGTTTCTCCAGATCCTCTCCTTCTCCCTACCCACCCAACTTTAAGTTCTTGCTCAAAAACCATAATCCACTACAACAACAAAATACATAAAATCTAGAAAACAAAATACAACATATCCTAAAAAGAAAAAAGGAAAAGTATAACCAAATAAAAACACATACATATGTACACACACACATGCACATGGATGCAAACTGTGGAATCCATCATTTTCAGGCAAACAATTCTTGATATTAAACACCAGTGAGTTAACTATACATTTCATAGGAAGGTTACAAGTTTGAAATGAGAAACATCAGTTAAAAAATAAACCAGTAGAGTGTGAAGCATCTTTCTGTCTCCGCTACTCAGAGTGTGAGGGGGAGATACCCTGTGGGGGCCCACAGAAGTGGGTCTGCTCCACTTGACATTTGCTTGAGTGTATTTTGATAACCAGAGGAACTGGGGTGGAGCAGAAACAAATGTAGAGATCTTTATAGTTTGTAGAGAGTGCCAATATTCTGCTCTCTCACCCGCTTTGGTGGCATGGCTACCACCACCTCCAGACTGCCCCAGGACTTGAGGAAGCAAAGGTGTGGTCTCACCTAAGCCACAGCTGTTACTGCTGCTGAGTTGCAGAGTGGGCAGTGCAAAGAAGGAAGCATGGATGCACAGCCTGGCCATGTTTCCCAGTTCTTGGCAGGACTGCCAAGAGGTGGAGAATGCAGGTAGTTGCCCTAACCTAGCAGACAGCTGCAGATGACAGTCTCAGGGAGCCACACACCTGAAAAAGCTAATGTAATATGTAAAGCTGCTTTAAAGCCTTTTAGAAAGACGACATCTCCTATTATATCTGGATTTGTTCAGATATTGGCCCTTCATAGACATAGGGACTAGCTGTAGCTGCTGCCTTACAGGGAAAGACAGTTAAAGATGTTTTCTCCCAACAGAGAAATCAAGGCTATGGCTCACTCACCTAGTGAAGTTTCTGTGGTGAAGTCAGACCAGAGAGAGGCTTCAAATTAATTTTATTTCCTAAGGTGCAAACTAGAAATCAAGTTAAGGGAGGAGAGACTGGATTTGGTTCATTGGACGCCTATTGACTACAAGTCATAGGTCCACAGCGACCAGAGCTCACTTTGTTCATAGATGGGAAAAGTTTTTCTGGTCTTCTGGATATCTGTGCAGATATTTCTGCTATGACTGCCAGTCAATGGCCTTCAAGTGGCCTAAAATGGAGACCATTACACAGTTACAAACTCAAGATCCTAAGCAAAGGCTCTCTTTCAGTCCCTTTCTCAAAGAGGCAGCTTCTGCCTCTCTCCCCACTTCTCCGCTTACCCCCTTCTCTGTCTCTCTTTCCTCTTCTCCTCTCCCTCTCTCTCCCTCCCTTCTCCCCTTTTTTCTTCCCCTCCATAACTGTCCTAATAAATGTCCAACTTTATTCTAAAAAAAAAAAAAGATCCTGAGCAAAGTAGCAATGAGTTTTACTGGAGAGATGGAGAGGGTCATAAAGGAACTTGGTGCCCATACATCGTTCCTCAATTATCTATAAATTTGTGGGGCTGAGACATTATGACCTGAATAGGGGTATATTTATATCCTCCCCCGACAGTTATTGCTACTCAGATGTTCCAGCAAGGGTTGTTACCCAACCAAGAGCGGGGCAAGGAGAATGAGGGAAGGATTGATCCTATCATACCCAGCAAAAGGCCTCCCACAGCAGGAATAGAGTATTTTTTAGGAGATGTCATTGAAAAGCCTGCACTCCATGCAGTCCCAATTGGTGCGGGAGAATTGTCTGTATTCTGTCAATCATGTTTTAAATAAACGCTGTTTGGCCAGACAGGAGGTTTAGGTGGGAAAACCGACAGGAAGTGGAAATGATGCAAGGAGAGCAGGAGAGTTCTGGGGAGGAGGAAGTTGATTCTTCCCACTCCCGCCCAGATCACCGAAGCAGCAGGATGTGAGCTGCCCCACTGAAAAAGGTACTGAGCCACATGACTAACATAGATCAGAAAAATGGGTTAATCAAGATGTGAGAGTTAGCCAGTTAAGAAGCCTGACCTAACGGGCCAATCAGCTTTATAACTTACAGAGATCTCTTGTGTGATTTTTCTCTAGGACTAAACAGCTGTGGGGCCGGGTAGGACAGAAACACAAACAAGGAGGCCTCCTCATGTTACACCCAATTCTTTAGAAAAGTGGCAAACCTGTGTGGGTCAATCAATAGCTTTTAGCAGAGGAGAAGATGCAGGAATTCTTTTAATTCTGTGACTACAGGACTTAAGATAGAAAAGCGAGAATATTGAAAATGGCGTCGCTCTGCCTGCCTATGTTCTTAGCCAGTCAAGTCTGTGGTCTCAAAGTGGCTGCCATGGCAGCACCTGGGAGCCTGAGCCACAGTTAAGCTTGCCAGCTGCCGCCACTGCTAGCCTGCGGTGGGACTACCAAACTGTGGAAAGCCTGGTCTGCATCCCACTCAGGCACAGCAGGCAGTGAGGGACCAGCGCCTCCCAGGTCTCCAGCAGGACGGTCAAGCTGCAGAGTGGAGCACAGCTCTGCTCCACCCCGCCACATGTCTGTGAATATGCAAATAAGAAAATTGATGCCTGTCAGCTACTGAGAGCTCTTGTAGCTTGGTTTAGAAAGATAGCTTACAAACTTTTAATGCTTTCAGAAGTTATCTGGGAGATATCCAGTGGCTATGCTCCTATTTACAGCTGCTTACAGGAGACCTTGAACCATTAAGTGAAATTCTTAAGGAGAGCAATGACCCAAATTCCACTAGACACCTTATACAGTTACTGCTAGACAGGAACAGACATGTGAAATATGTAATACAGAAAGCAGGTACAGTATATTAATGATGATTAACTTTGGAAAGCATGTATATTTGCTACAAAACTTAATTAATCGCTTTATCTCAGATTGAGTTTGCTCAGTGATCACATGCTTTACATCATCAAAATAGTAAAAATTTAAGGAAACAGTTTGGACTAACAAGAGAGATTGCTTGTCAGATTGTTAAGCAATGTGATATATGCCCACAATCTTTACCTGTACCTGATAAGGAAGTAAATCCTCAAGGTCTGCTTCTTAATCATTTATGGCAAATGGATATTACTCATATTGCATAGTTTGGCAAATTAAGGCATGTGCATGTGACAATAAATACATATTAAGGTTTCTTAATGCCCTCCACACAGACTGGAGAAGCCACTAAGCATGTGATAACTCATTGCTTAAAGTGTTTTTCATATATGGGAATCTTTAAAATTGTAAATACTGATAATGGCGCCAGATATGTTAGTAAAGCATTTCAGCAATTTTGCTTCCAATGGAATATCGAACATAAAATAGTCATTCCTTATAATCCTCAAGGACAAGGAATTGAGGAGCGTGCCCATGGCTCCTTGAAAACACAACTTCAAAAGATAAAAATTGGGGAATTATACCCTCAGTTGACACATAATGCCTTAAATCATGCCCTTTTTACTCCAGACTTCTTGAATGTGGTTGCTCATGAGCAAACTGCCACAGATAGATTTTGGCATGATGGCTCCAGGGCTACACCTTTACACTGAAGTATGGAAAGAACCTGACCCTGTTTTATTATCGTGTTAAGGGTTCGTCTGTGCTTTTCCACAGGAGGACGTGAAGCATAATGGCTTCTGGGCCATCTGGTCCAGTGTGCCAGCCCTGATGACATCATGCTGCTGGCACGCCCACAGAGTCAGAGTGAGACTGCTGAGCCTGCATTCCTGATCCTCTTATGTCACCATGCTGCACTCTGAGGAGGGAAGGAAGGTGGTGGTGATGGTCGGTGATTCCCACCTTCTTGGTGGACCAACTGCACCAACTTGCAGACCTTAGCAAGTTTCACTTACTTTAGAACTGGCCCAAAATGCTCACTGAATATTTGGCAGTTTTTCTATACTGTATCTTGGGACAGAGAACTCATTTTTGACAGTATAGTGTTAATTGGTTGCTGAAATAAAGGATCTAAGAACTGAGACCTTAGGAAATGTCCCCTCTGGAGGAAAGAGACCTAGACAACAAAGAGGATCGTAAGAGAGACATCCATGGATCTAATCTACATGAGAAGTAGGAAAAGACAAGATCTCCTGAGTAAATTTGGGGCATGGGGATCATGGGAGAGGGTTATGAGGGGGGAGGGAGGGAAGTAGAAAAATATATAGCTCAATAAAATAAATTTTAACAAAGGTAACATGAATTGATGATATCTAGAGGTGAACCTTTGAGGAAGTGATTAGAATTCGGGGATAATCACCAAGATAGAGCCCACATGTTTAAATAGTGGTGCCACCAAGTAAGCAGAGAGTCAGGTATACAAACAGACAAACACAAGCATATGCCCCTGTCTCTTTCCAAACAATATCTTTTCTACCTCATGATTTACTGTGCAAGAAGGCTGACTAAGCACCTCACATTGGACCAGAACTGTGAAGAAAAAAAAATAACTACTTTTCTTTTTAACAAATAGAGTCTGTAGTATTGGGTTATTTGGAACAGAAAAAAGACTAATACACGTTGTGAAAAAGTCAATTAAGTGATTGTTTCCAAAATTTTTTCTTCATAAGTCAATTACTTCACTGCTATAGTCACAGATGCTGGTATGTACTCCCATTATTCCCAAGAATTCTGCTTTCCAATATCTTTACTTTGTTTAATTCTTCCATTGAATATGAGCAGTACTGTAAACATTATAGGATATCATGTCATAATTAAGTTAATAATTACTTTACTTTTGTGTAAATCAAAACAGTCATCTATTGATTAGATTAACTATAATCTGGTGAATTTCGTATAAGCAAAATGCTTCCTAATTGGCTCTGAGGTGGAAAAAACATGAGGAAAAGAATTCCAGAAGCCCCAATCTATAACTCAGTCCTACAACCAAAGCTGAGTTCAGATGGAAAGTAGACTTTGATTCTTATCCAAAGTCCCTAATCATAGAACCCTCCCAATCTAAGCTTGATTTATGATCTACAAATAGTGAGTGACTGCATGTTGTTTGAAGTTTTTAAATTGGTAAAAATTTGTTTCATAGAAATAAAAAAAAACTTACAAGGAAATTATATTTAATTACTTACATTAAATATTAACATTTTAAGGATAAATTACTAATATTACAGTTAAAGTTGAAATGATTTCTTCAAGTTTTGTGACAAGTGTATATGGCATCTTCAGCAATAGTGTCTTACCCTCAAGTAATGGCTGGCAACCAAGAGCAATGGCGGTAGCTTACACGATTAGGAGTGATCGCAGACACCCTGTGAACAACTAGTACTAACATGGAAGCCTCCTCCCTGCTAAGTAGTCTTCATAGTGTGGAAGGTGTTATGCAGACTGTTGAAAGAGGAAAGTTATCAATGATTCCACCAGATGCAAATTCTGCAGACTACAATAAAAACTTTCCTGGCAAGATATGTTGAATGTTGCAGTGGTGCTTTGGAATAATCAATGATCTGATTGGATTTAAGGCCCTTTCAACAGGAGGGAACCCATGTCTGGTGCTGTGAACTTCGCAAAGAACTCATAGCTGGAGAGGCCATTAACCCTAGAGGAAACCTTAATCATTTTGCTAAAATGGTGCTGTATGTCACTACATTCTAAATGCTTATCTTTATACCCATAAGTAGGTTTCCCATATTCCAGATGATCACTGTAAACCTATACAA